AAAAAAAAAAAAAAAAAAAAAAAAAACTATCTTACTTTACTTGTACTGCAAATTCCGTTGTCTCAAAACAAGATATTGTCTTTCTTCTAAATCATCACACTCCCCGTAAAAATATCTCTTTAGTATTGTAAAGCTCATAACGCAATTGAATAGTCAGGTTTTTATTTAGCATACATTTGCATCTATAACCTTAAGGCAGACAAAATCAGGAGTTGAGTGGTTCTTTACAAGTGGCGCTCCAACACCATGTTTCTTTATGCAGTACCACATACCTATAATATGAAAACATAATGCCGATAAAAATTTCATTCTTTATACACGTCATCTATATGCTGCATTGAATCGTCTCACTTCACCGCAGTTCCTATAATCCACAAGTACTCCTCGCAAATTCGTTCAATCTTCAACATTAATCAGTGTTAAAATTTAGAGTTCAACAATACTTCAAAACAAAGAAACAAAGGAAATTTTACCTTTATCGCTACTACGCCAAGTCTTTTCAAGAAAAGTGTTTTCACGAACACTTCGAAGCAAGTACTTTCAATGCGTTAAGCAACCTTTTGCGCATCTTGTGGTTACTAATAAGCCCATGTTCAATCTAAATACATTTACGCTTTAATCAGAATGTTGAAATCATACATTCCTATTTAAGCATTATAATTGTACAGAAATGATAATTCATCCGGTAAGTGCCAAAAGTAAATGAGTCAAAACAACTTTTAAACAGACTTCAACAGCTTCCATTATATCTCTGACGCTAACAGGTTCTTGGGCTGGCAATAATACGCGTGGCACAGCCTTTGCGCCTCTCCTGAAACCATTTTTCCACAATTCAATCAATGAACTCACAGTGGTATAACTAACGATAATCAGTATTAAAGTTTATTAAAAAAACTTAAAATTTTTAAAAGACCTGTTTGTAACTCCGTAGGAATAAGTAGCGCCGCTTTCCGTAATCAAATGATTCCGTTTCAATCGCAAAGACGCCTCTAGTATATTCATGGCTACCAGCTAAAGAAGTAACTAATCTTAAAAACGACACGTAAAAAAATAAATTATTCATAAAAGTCGACATACTTTGGCAGTCGAGACAATTAAATCGACAGCTTCTTCGGACACTCCCTTCAAACCCCCTTGCCACGCATCAAGAAGTAGCCTTCCTTTCACCTTAAATCTGTAAGAATGAAAGTCTGCTCAAACAACAACGGCAGCTGATAATGTCAAGTTTAAGAACAGATTTGCCTTCGTTACTTTTAAACGTCTAGTACAAGTGACAGAAAAAAACTCTAAAACATTTCATTTCCCAATGAATGGGATTTAGGAAAGAACTAAAAAGCGATTTTTTAAAATCCCATCAACAAGCATACAGAAAGGAATTCAGAGGAGTTAAGATAGAATACAAGAAAATGTTTTGGCTATTTAAAACTTTGACCGTTATTTAAAGCCGAAATAAAATGAATTAAAATTTATATAGTTTTAGAGACCATTTAAGTAAAAAATATCAGTAAATGGCAACTGTCTTACAGGGATTTCGAGAAATCAAACCGTGCTGCATCACTTTTCCATTAGGGATTCAAACTCTTTTAAGATTCACAAAAAACTTCAAGGCTCAATGTTTTTGTCTACTTGAACAACAAATTGAAAAAACTACTCACTTCAAGAATTAAAAGGTATGTGAAAAGAAGAAAGGAAAAATTCTAACACTGTTAAGAAGTAAACAAACAGATATCTCTACACATGTAAGACACGCCACATAAGCTCAATGAAAAAATTTTTTTAAAATCTTTTGAGTCATTATTTCGCGTTCCCCCAAGAAAAACTTTTATTTGAATGATGCTTAAAACCGCCCTGATAGGTGGTGAAGAGTAGGCAGCTCCTGATAAAGAATTTACCTTACGAACAGAAATGTGACTGTTTCGCTTTAAATTATAGAAAAAATCACTAAAAAAGGAAGAAACTATTGCAGTAAATTAATAAATCAGAGTACGAGATATGCGCAAGAACGAATTTTCAAAATGAACACATACCCGATTTTACAAAATATTATAAAAAACTAAAAAAATCTTATTGAATAATTTCAGTTGACTTGTAACGAATTTTTTATAGCAAAATAACGCGACACCTGTCCTTTGCTTGGTAGCAATCTTAGTCCTTCCGAAACAGTTTGTTTCTTTCCCTGTAGTGCCTGGAAACCTTGATTCAACTCTAGTGACTGCTCCTAAAAAAATATAAGACGGGCTGTATTCAAAACGAGAATCCAGTAATATTTAGCTGCCCTTAGACGTCACAGTGATTCATTTTCAGAAGTGAACTAGGAAAGAAGACTTCAAGAGGCAGACGCAGGATCACT